AAGATTACAACGACAAATGACCGATTGGAAGAGTGAAACCGAGGCATACTTTTCAGTTGTGTGAAAGGTTAATGTTTATTTTATCGGCTGTAGGCATATTGTGTAATTTGACATGTTTGATATTTTAATTCTATCGATAACGCTTACCAGACAAGTCAGACCAGAATGCACCCAAAAACACCCATTCGTATTCTGAAGGCAAGTCTGGTATGATGTTCAGGGGAGTTCACATTCCTAATTTTTATTCCATGAGTGCGATTATTGCCATTGTCGCTTTCGAGTTGTTAAGTCATTGATGGATTTAGGGTGAATGGCTTGCAGAATGTCAAAGTTGACTTATGTCTACCGTCGTCATAAGAAGAATTAGTTCGCTAGATTAGAGAAATGCTCATGGTAACACTACAGCGATAAGACTTACTTACTACTTACTGACTCTCCCTATTCAGTCTTAGTGCTGCTACTATAATGACAGTAGATCGTACTACCTGCAGCTGTTCCTACTACCTTGTAGGTGCATATTGGAGTATGAAAGGCTAATGGAGTAAAACCTAAGCAAATCCGAAAGGAGGGCCCCTAAGGCAGTCGACAGGGAGGAATAATCCGAACTATCTTCTGGCAGCCCCTGCAAATCTACTGGTTCCAAATGTATTGACCTCGTTGTTCCCTTGGACTAAATCAGCAAAGTCGAGAGGGGGTTCGTGCAAATTGGGCAAGGCACCTTCTCCATACAGTCAAACTGAGACATTGTGTTTTTTGTTTTGCTTTTTGTTTTGTTTTGGTTTTTTTTGGCAAACCAAGCTTGGCGACAGAGATGTTTATAACATCTCACATTATTACACATTATGAGAATATTCGGTACTTTAGGGGTGGGGAGGTGGAACTCTTTTTTATTATTATTTTATGTTAGGTGTGTTGCTAATCTTTCTTACCTCTTTTTGCTCGAGTCTTTTCTTGTAATGAAACTCTATACCACTTAGAGCAAAACACGTTTGATTTATTCTTGAAGGCATAGTTATAAGGTTACCATAAAACAGGAGTGTCAAAATGTTACTGAAAAGTTCGACATTGTATGTCAGTGTAAATCGTTCGATTAAAAAAAATGAAAGTCCGAAAAAGAGATTGTATGAGGTAGAATAGTTTGGTATTAAGGGGG